CCCATAATGGCTGGACTGACTCTGACCCAGCTTATGGCTACTGGTTCCGGGAAGGGGCCAATGTATACTTTGACGCTCCAGTGTCCACAAACAACCTATCTCGAGAAGTGCAGGAGGAGACCCAGGGCCGATTCCGCCTCGCTGGGGACCCTCAGGTCAACAACTGCTCCCTGAGCATCAGAGATGCCAGGAGGACGGATGAGGGGACATACTTCTTTCGGGTGGAGAGAGGAAATGTAAAATGGTCCTACAGCCCATATAAGAATTACAAACCTGACCAGCTCTCTCTGCACGTGACAGGTAAGTACCAGGCTCCAGGAGTGACCACAGGGGAAGGTCATGGGGCCACAGGGCAGGGTTGAGATGGGACCCCTTTGCTGAGAGGGGATTCAGGTAAAGTGGGTCTGACTCACAGGAAGAGCTGGACCAGAGTCTGAGTTTCTCCAGGGCCCCACCTCGGACCCACCCTCCTGATCCTGTGTGTCCCCCTTTCCTCAACAGCCCTGACTCCCAATATCCTCATCCCGGGGACCCTGGAATCCGGCCACCCCAGGAACCTGACCTGCTCTGTGCCCTGGGCCTGTGATCATCGGACACCCCCCGTGATCTCCTGGTTGGGGGCCTCTGTGTCTCCTCTGGGCCCCACCAGCTCTGCCTCCTTGGTGCTCACCCTCATTCCGCAGCCCCAGCATCATGGCACCAGACTCACCTGTCAGGTGACGATCCCTGGGGCCAATGTGATGACAACAAGGACCGTCCATCTCAATGTGTCCTGTGAGAACTGGGTTAGGGAGCCTGGGTCCCTGATGGGGGGATCTCTGAGGGCAGGGGATGGAGGTCAGAGCTGGACATGGGATGCTGGGTCCCAGAGTCCAAGGCAAGAGTGGGGGGTCAGGAGGATGCTGGCTCCACCTTCCCCGACTATGCAGTTCCTGGGAGAGAGGGCCAGTGTCCACCACCCCCACAGCGTTGTGAATCTGTCTTTCTGTCCAGATGCTCCTCAGAACTTGACTGTGACTGTCTTCCGAGG